CTCAGGCCGACGTGGAGATGCTCTCCAAGAAGAGCGGCTGCACCGTGCGCCAGGTCGAGCGCTGGTTCCGCCGCCGCCGCAACCAGGACCGGCCCAGCCTGCTGAAGAAGTTCCGGGAGGCCAGGTGAGACCCCCCTTCCTGCCTGAGGTCGCTGTCCCTCCACCCCGGGGGGCTCTGGGAGCCTCAGCTTGGCTGGGAGCTGCCTGGGAGGGTGGGAGACGCGGGATCCGGGGCCTGTGGGTCCGTCCTCTTCCCTCCTGCTCCCCGGTGCCCGTCTGAGGACCGTCTGCTTCCTTTTTCCAGTTGGAGATTCACCTTTTACCTTATTGCTTTCATTGCTGGCATGGCTGTCATAGTGGATGTGAGTATTGCCCCACTCCCGTGCTCCCCTGGCTCCCCCAGCCCCTCTGACTGCTCTGTCTCCCCCTCCCCATCCCACAGAAACCCTGGTTCTACGACCTCCGGGAGGTGTGGAAGGGATATCCCATCCAGGTGAGCACCGACCCGTCCTGGCTGCCAGCCCGCGGCTTCTCCTGAGCACCAGGATCAGCAGAAGCAACTGGGGGTGCAGGGGGGTCTCTTGGCCCCCCTGGAGGTTTGGGGGTTCCCAGGACACCCGGATGGTGCCCAGATGAGGGGACCAAACCCCTGTGGGGGCACAGAGGACGCCCCCCAAGCTGTCCCTTGTCCCCAGAGCGTGCTGCCCTCCCAGTACTGGTACTACATGATCGAGCTCTCCTTCTACTGGTCCCTGCTCTTCAGCATCGCCTCCGACGTCAAGCGCAAGGTGGGGGCTCTGGGAGGGGTGGGAGGCGCTGGGACACCTGGGCAGGGTTTTCCTCACGCTGGTGGTGGTGGGAGGATGTGGGGACACGCAGGCTGTGGGGTCCGGGCTGCCGTAACCCCCCAGCGCTGGGCTCCCTCTGCTTTGGGCACAGGACTTTAAAGAGCAAATCATCCACCACGTCGCCACCATCATCCTCATCAGCTTCTCCTGGTTCGCCAACTACGTCCGTGCAGGGACGCTCATCATGGCCCTGCACGACTCCTCGGATTACCTGCTGGAGGTTGGTGTGTCCCCCTCCCCTCTGTCACCGCGTCCCCCGCCCTGTGCCCCCTGCCCGGCTCACCCCGCTGCCCCCCCAGTCCGCCAAGATGTTCAACTACGCCGGCTGGAGAAACACCTGCAACAACATCTTCATCGTCTTCGCAGCCGTCTTCATCATCACCCGCCTGGTCATCCTGCCCTTCTGGTGAGCTGCGGGGGGAACGGGGGGAAACCGAGGCAGGGTTTGGGGGGTCTCAGGGGGGTGGGGTGCTGGTTCTGCCCCGTGACTGGAGCGGCTTTTCCTGGCAGGATCATGCACTGCACCGTGTTCTATCCGCTGGATCTCTACCCCGCCTTCTTCGGCTACTACTTCTTCAACTTCATGATGGTGGTGCTGCAGTCGCTGCACATCTTCTGGGCCTACCTCATCATCCGCATGGCCCAGAAGTTCATAACTGGAAAGGTCAGAGGGGACCTGGGCCCGCGGGGACACCACGAGGGTGGATGGAGGATGGGGCTTGGCAGGGGGAGACCCCCAGATCCTGAATCCCGACTGTGGTTGCAATGGGGAAACTGAGGCACGGCAGGAAGATGGGGGGTGCTGACCGAACCCCCTCTGCCCACAGGTGGTGGAGGATGAGCGGAGTGACCGCGAGGAGACGGACAACTCGGAGGAGGAGGAGGAGGTGGCCAAGAATGGGCCCCTCTCCAATGGCCACCCTGTCCTCAACAACAACCACCGCAAAACCGACTGAGTGCCCCGGACCCGAGAGCTGCCACCTCGTGCCAGCGGCCCGGCCCCTCCGGCCGCTCCACACCGGGACCCGGAGCGGGGCCGCAGCTCTGCCTCACTCTCACCGCTGGTGCCCTTCCACCTCTCACCTGCTGCCTTAATCCACTGCGGTTCCCGGGGCTGGCGGGGACCCCGCCGGGAGGGCTCCCGTCCCACCGGGGCGGCTCCTGCCCACCCCGCAGCCCCTCGGGCTGCTCTGGCCAAAGAGCTCGGCCCCAGCCCCTCGCTGGGCTCTGTGTTATTCCTGATTTCCCAACCATTCCTTCACCGGGGGAGGGGAAAAGCCCCTTTCTCTGGAACAGCCGGCTCAACCCCTGCTCCCCCAGCGGGGAGGGAGGAGCGGGGAATCCCGGGGCCTTCGGTGCCTGAATGATGGGATGACACTATGGAAGTACTTGGGGGAAGGAAGCTCTGGGGCTGAGTCACTCCTTGTGTCTCACAGAGTTTAATCCTCTCATTTCGGTAAATGGATTTTGAGTTTCTCCCTCTCTGGCCTCTCCCAGCTGTAACAGGACAAATTTCCAACTGATTTTTCCTTATTTTTTTCTTTTTTTTCTTTCTATTTATTTGGAAGACAGAAGGAGCCGGGCTTGGCTCTGTCTCCTGCATCCCTCGGGATGCTGCGAGACCTCCCAGCACGGAGGGGTGGGGGGGATAAAGGACCATTAACCAATGCCAGACCAAAATGTGTTTTGTTGTTCTTGTTTTTTTTTTAAAAAAAAAAAATAAATAAAAGGTTAAATATATTAAAAGTTAAAAAAACTAATAAACTTGGGTAAAAAAAAGACAGGATTTGGGCATATTCTGTGAGTGGCACAATGGCCCTGGGGTGGAGGCATTAGATGGGTTTGGCATAGATCCTTTAGGCAGAGCTAAAAATGGGCAGTGTTGAGGATTTTGATGTTTTTTATATATTTTTTTTTTCTCCTTAAAGTTCTCCAAGTCTTCAAGCCCAGGCTGGAGCGTGGGTTTGGGTTCTCTGAGGAGCTGCGGCCCCGCTGGGATGACAAAGCCTCCATTCAGGTGGACGCTCGGGATGGAACTGGAGCTCCAGAGGCCCCAGAAAGGTTTTATTTTACAAAGGAAAAACAAGGTTATTTAGCAGGAGAAAGCCCAACAAGGCTCCCTTGTGCAGGGCTGCCTCGAGCGGGGCTGGCGTTGGTTACGGGGCTGGGAGGGTGGAACTGATCCACCACGCCCAGGCTGGGCTCTCCCACCTCGCTCAGGTCAGGTTTGATCCCCGGCTGAACAACTTCACCTCTTCCATCCATTCTCAGGGTGGCTTTCTGAACCTCTGGATGTGCCCCAGTGCCTTCCCTCCTTCCCCCCAAACCAAACCAAACCCCCAGCCCCACTCTGGGCCCGTGGGGCTCCAGACCCCGCTGATTTTCCGTGTGGATCCGTGTCCAGCGGGGCTGTCCCGGCTCACTGCAGGAGCTCGGGCTCCCAGTGACGTCCTGGGAGGGCTGTGGATGGGCACAGGCACCAAATCTGCTTCCTCAAGAAAATCCCAACCTGTTCCTCTGCAATTCTCCCAGCTGGAGGGTTTAAGGAGTGTTTGTTTGGAGGAAAGGTGAAGGAAAGGTGAAAATGTGGGAGCTCCTTATCCCTTTGCCTGGGCCCATCCACCTCTGGCACTTTTCCTGCAAACCCCACAGGAACAAGGATGGTGGCAGTGGTTCAACCCTTCTTTTTCAGGGCTCTTTGCTGTGTCTCAAGATCAGGGTAGGTTGTTTTGATAGAAAAACACACTTTTACTGCTTTTTAGCAACTAAAAGATTCTTTACAACGGCTCACAGGTGAAGACAGGTACTTACTTTTTGTCTTTTTTCACTTGAATTCTATAAATCCCAATTGGTCCAGTTCTTCCAGGGATTCTTTCCACCATCCTCCCTCCTACTTTCAAGGCCTCTGTGCCAATTAGAAAGCACTTCCTGGAATACTGGAGAAGTGCTTGCTGCTGGAAAAAATTACTTTGTGCCTTAAATTTGGTGGAAAACTGGAGCAGAGCAGGAAAAGCTCCTTCCTTGAGGGAGCCCAAGGTGGGAGAAGCCCAGGGGCTGGGAATCACCGCCCAGCACAGCCCGAGTCCGTTCCTGCTCCATGTCCATCTGTGATTTTCCAGGTGAGTGGCTGAGCTGAGAACCTCTTGAGAAGGAACTTTACCCTCGCTGAGGGAAAGCGAGCACCTCTGGAGCAGCGGGATCCGCGGGGAGCGGTGGGCTCAGAGCAGCCGGCCCCGGCAGTCGATGGCCCCGCAGCAGCACAGCAGCTCCTTGCCCTCCACGCTGCCGACCTCGTAGTTGTAATCCCAGGTCAGCTCCGTGCCGGCTCGGATCCGCCTGGGAAGGAAAAACCAGACGGGATGGGTGAGGAGACTGTGCCAGGAAAGAGGAGAAACTGGGTGATAAAAGGGAGACACGCTTCCATGTGGGTGCTCCAGGATGAGGCTGGGACAGCCAGGGAGAGAGGGACAAAGTTCCCTGGTGGATCATTCCTGTGAGGATTCCTGGAGGAGGAACATGGCAGGGATTCACCACGACTCAAAGATTTGGGACTGAAACAAGAAGGGACATTGGCTGCTCCATGCCTCGCTCTGCCCTTTGGGAAGGTCTAAAACTGGTGGAAATGACAGCAGGATCTCCAGCGTGAGAGGATTTCACCTGACACCGAGGTTTTCCCTGCACAGGAATGATGGGAAACTGGGAATGGGGTTTCCAGGAGCAGGGAACAGCCAGCCCTGGCCATGGAGCCAGGTCCCACCACAGCCCAGGAGTCCTCAGCCCTTCCCAGCTCTCCAGGACTCACTTGCTGGCGAAGAAGGCGACCCAGGGGAAGCGAAGGTCGTGGGTGTCCACGAAGACGTTCTGCACGAAGAGGTTTGGGGTGCAGCTGTGCTGTAACGGCAACAGGGACGAGCCTGAGCTGCTGCCCGGGCAGGGAGGCCGAGCTGCCAGCACCGAGCACAGCCTTTATAAACAAGCAGCATTCCTGGTGTGCCGCCGCATCCAGCGGAATCCTGCTGGAACAGGCTGCACGCCCGGGCTGAGTCACAGGATCCACACTCTGAAGGTAACGGGCTCTGGAAGGACTGACAGCACTGCTCCTGCTCCCACCAGCCCCGAGCAGCTGCTGCTCCTCTCGGGAAGGTGCATCATCCTCTGAACCCGCTCTCCTCCCCGCTTTTCCCCTTCTCAGCCGGTCCCGGGGAGGAGCAGCCCCCGGGCAGCCCCGAGGTGTCCCTGTGCCCCACTCACGTTGAGGTAGCGGCCCAGGTTGCCCTCGAGCTTGGCGTCGATGATGTAGCAGTTCTCCTCCCCGTCGTAGAACTGCCGCGTGCTGCGGCGCACGGGCCCCGCGCTCTCGCCCTTGTCGGCCGCCGCCAGCGGCGTGGATTTGATGGCGATGCCGTGGGTGGACTTGAGGGCAAAGCCTCGGGTGGATTTCACAGCCACCTGTCTCTTCACAGGACCTGCCACGAGACGGGGCCTTCAGCAGAGGAACCGGGCAGTGCTGACCCTGCTGCTCCGCTCAGAGCTGACAAACCCCTCAGAGCCAGAGCAGGACGGCCCCTGGCATCGCCCCAGCCCAGCCTGCAGACCCACTGCAAACCTCCCTGTTAAATATCTGCTTCTCAGGAGCGGATTTTGCAGTTTTATCTTGCCAAACTCGTGGGGAAGGTTCCAACCTCAGCTGTGGGCACAGCAGGAGCAGCTGCAATGGCCTCACGAGCCCTTCCCGGTGCTTTCCAACCAAACCTTCTCAGCCTCAGCCCTCGTCTCCCTCCTCACCTGACCCAGATGATGGATTTTTCTTGTCCTCCCCTTCCTCCTCCTCGGATCCTGAGGAAATGGTCTGGATGTCGTCGCTGTCGTTGGCGGTGCCCGGGGCCTGCCCTGCCCTGTGCTCCCCTTCGCTGTCGGTGCTGCTGGAGAGCGTCAGCACGTCCTGGGGACAGAACAGCTCCTGCAGAGCACCCCAGCCTCCCTTTCCCCAGGAGTACAGAGCTCTCCTCCAGCTCACCCCTCTGCCCCAGGAAACCCCCCAGAAGGGGATCCCCCTCTGGGTGCCACAGCCCACAGGTCAATGTTGGGGTTTTGGGGGGCTGCTGAGTTCTCCTTGAGATCCTGGAGCATTAAAAAGTGCTCAAAAGGAAGGGAGAAGACCCCCAAAAACAGGGATTGTTCCCCAGGCTGGCTTCCCCCAGATGGCTCTGCCAAACAAGGGGTCCTGGGTGTGCAAACCAAGGTGCCAAATCCAACCCAAATTCCACACTCCTTTTCTCAATGCTCCAGGTCCACGAAAAACCCCCAAAATCCAAAGGAAATCAACTGCCCTCCAGGAAACCACAGCTACAACCACAAACCCTGCGCTCACCTGGGAACCAAAGGCAGAAAACGCCCCCACAGAAGGCTCCAGGTGGCTGTGGAAGCGGTTTGGGGAGGAACCTTGCAGCCCACTCACCTCTGAGGGGGTTGGCAGGGCCAGGGATCGCCGGCGGCTCTGCAGCAGCAGCGTCCCGCTCACCGGCCTGCGGATCCCCTCCAGCTTCGGGGGACAGGGGTTGTAGCCGTACCTCCTGCCCAGGCTGCTCAGCCTGCGGGTTGGGACAAGAGCAGGTCACGCCTGGATTTCCAGGGAAGTTGTCCACAGGACAGGAAAACACGAGTCAAGGAATCTTACCCAGGAATTTTGGTTGATTCTTCAGGTTCCTGCAGAGGGGAGAAGCACAGAAGATTGCAGAAGATTGGAATCTCTCCCTCCTCGAGCGCTCTCCAGCCTTTCTAAGGAATTGTTCCCCAAAATGCCAGCCCAGGAGAGAGATGCTGCCTGTCCCCACGCTCAGTGTGACACCCAGTGACACCCAGAACGGAGATGCCCCTCCCTGGGGGACTCTCCCTGGAGCAGGGGGTGCACAGGGACCTCCTCTGTGTCCCTCAGGTCCCCAGGCAGGAGGACGTTCAGCTCTGCTCACATCGAGCGACTTCTGTAGCCTCTTGTGCCACAAACTCCCTCCCTGGGAGGGGAAAGCACCTCCCTGTCCCACCAGAGAAGGGAGGGGAGCTGAGCACAGGGACACCCAACAGCCCCACACTCCCCTGGATGTGCTGTATGGGGAGAAAAGCCACTGGAGCAGGAGCACATCCCTGCTTTAACTCTCCCATTCCCTCATCTCTCCCTCACCTCCTTCTTGGCTGCCTTTGCCTCTCCGTTCAGCTCTCCCGGCGTGGGAGCACAGCTCTTCTCCCTCTCCACAGAGATCTCCATTTTCACGGCCTTGGCTTCTCCCCCTTCGCCCATCCTCAGGGACGAGGCGCTGTCGCTGTCCTGGAAGCTCTCGGCCATGCTGTTGGAGCTCAGCCACGAGGCCACCTTGTTCTTGGAGGTCTCCTCAGACACGGGCAGCTTGCAGGGGGGGGCGGTGGCGGGCTCGTCGTGGCCGAGGGGCCGGGCCAGCCCCGAGTCCTTGGAGGCCGTCTCGGAGAGGCCGTGGTCGCGCTGGCCGCGCGTCTGCCGGCGCGTGGCGTAGCTGCGCAGCACCGAGCTCGTGCTGAAGTTCTCGTCCTTGCAGAAGTTGTCGTCGGAGCTGTCCTCGTTGGATTCCTCCAGCTCCTCCGAGCCCGTGTTCTCGTCGTCGTCGTCGTCCTTGAGGTCCACGCCGCTGTTGTCCGAGGAGCACTTGGCGTCGCTCTCGTAGCCCTCCTTGAAGTTCTCCACGCTCTCAATGTGGTCCAGGTTGGCAAAGTACTCGTCACCCATCTCCAGCCCCTCTTTGTCAGCAAAG